ACCTAGTTTGAGTGTACGATATATATGTACATGCGTAGTTTCCGTCTTTTCTTGGGCGTCCTGTCCTCCGCTGATTTTGGTTATATTTTTTTACAACCGCTGCTCTCACGTTCAAGCTTGACATGAAAAATCGTTTCTGCATACCCGATGTTGACGTCGCTTTCGCTGCTCTATGGAATCCCGTAGCGCACCGGCCACAAGGAGGTTGGCGTCAAAACCGGCGGCAAGGAGAAGATGCGCATCACTTCGGTCCTGACGATGTTCGCCGACGGCAGCAAGCTGCCGCCCCTCGTCATCTTCAAGGGCCAGCCCACGCCGAAGGGGAAGGCCCCTGCCGCCAACAGCATCGAGCGCGAGTTCAAGGACTACAAGGACAAGAAGGGCTACGCATACCCTCGAGGTGTCGTCTACGCCGTGGACCCAAAGGCATGGCACTCCCAGCGGGTGTTCAACGAGGTCTGGCTGCCTCAGGTGTGGAACCAGCGCCCGGGGCGGCAGGGTCGCCTGGGCGGCTACCGTCAGCCTAACACGCTGCTGGCGTGGGACGACTACACCGTCCACAAGACGGACGCGTCTACCAAGGCGATGGCGGAGTCCAACACGACGCTGTTTCTCATCCCGGGAGGCCTGACTCCCAAGCTCCAGCCGTGCGATGGCCTCGTCAACAAGATCTTCAAGGCAAACATGTCCAGGCTCTACGACGACCACATGGCTTCCCCTCACGTCAAACGCGGCGACCACGGCTACCCGGAGGCCCCTTCGCGGGGGTTAGTCGCACAGTGGGTCAAGAAGTCGTGGGACGCCTTGACCGCGGATGAAGTCCGCGCGAGCTGGAGGAAGGCTGGCCTGCTGCTTCCGTTCGACGGGTCGGAAGACGAGGCCTGGGCCAACAAGGAGCTCAACCCCAACGCCCAGGGGGAGCCCCTCGACGCGCCATCGGCCGGTGCGGACAAGGCTGACTCGTCGTCGGGAGGCGGCAACTTGCTGGAGGTGTTGGAGATCGACGATGACGACGACACGGGCGTGGTGGTGGTGGACATCAGCGACGACGAGGGCGAGGAGCCGTGAGGCATCGGCAGCGATGCTAGTGTTGAGAAATGGCTTGTGGTGTCCTTCTCATGTTCACTAGCATTTCTCCTGGCGTACGTTTCTCTTCCTTCGTCGTGTGTTTTCTTCGACGCGTCGAGTGCAACGTAGTGTTGTTTGCGGTAGTGGTTAGTGGTCTTGATTTTTTTTGGTCGTGGTGACGTAGCAAGGTAGGTAGCAGCGGCCTACTAGGTACTTGTTTGTGAGGGGGTAGGACGGAATGGCCACTCTGTGGCGACCGCCTGGCAAAATATCGGGCGAGGTACCTTTGATTTTTGTCTTTTTAGTTTTTGATCCTACAAAAATGATAGAAACACGGATGCTGCTTGGTAGATGGACCCGTTATCATTTTTGGTTCTTGTCCCCGCCGTTCCTGGGTCATAACGTAGACCTAGCTCCCAGGCGACACCTTACTTGCCGCAGCGCCGCGGGGCGCGGGCGCACTCGATCCTAACATTTTTCTGCTCCATTCAAGTCCGTTTTTGTTTGAAACTTTCTTTGGCGTTGAGCGGGTAACACATCGTCGAGGTCATGTGCTCAAGCGTTTCGTCACCTCCGTTGAGCCCCGTCTGTTTACCACATCTCGCAGTATTACATTACGGTAGGTGACGTACCATGGTATGTACCGCGCAGTACNCTAGCTCCCAGGCGACACCTTACTTGCCGCAGCGCCGCGGGGCGCGGGCGCACTCGATCCTAACATTTTTCTGCTCCATTCAAGTCCGTTTTTGTTTGAAACTTTCTTTGGCGTTGAGCGGGTAACACATCGTCGAGGTCATGTGCTCAAGCGTTTCGTCACCTCCGTTGAGCCCCGTCTGTTTACCACATCTCGCAGTATTACATTACGGTAGGTGACGTACCATGGTATGTACCGCGCAGTACAACAAACCCCTTCATTTACCATCACACGTGGGTGTTGGGACGTGCTATCACACCCCCTTTTTATCACACCCCTCATTTATCACACCCCCAAACACACCCTGTGGGTGGTCCGACGTGCTTTCACCCCCCCCGGTTTATCACACCCCCTTAGGGCTCCCTGCGAGCTGTACTATATCACCCGGGATACATTAGATATCTGGATACCACACCCCCCACAGGATACCACACCGGTGATGAATATTTTTAAACCCAGAAATGTTATCACCAGGGTGTGTTATCTTGTGTCACTTACGGTAGCCCATAATAAGAATTCGAGGCTGGACCTGAAATAAGCGTTTCTTAACTGCGGGCGCCAACTGTACAGTCAGTAGACCTGTGTACAGCAGAACAAAGCTTTTAGTTGACTACTGTGAGCGCAACTACGACCCTGGAATATATCCTTTGCCAAGGCAAACACTCGCTATCAGGCATGCATGATATTTCTGCTTCAAGCTACAACAGCAGTACTGCCAACTCTCTTGGTAGCCTGCGGTTGCCAGCTCACATTTGTGGTACACAACTCAGGGAACAGGTCCGCATTCCCCGAAAGAGTTGAACAGAGCGAACAGCGTACAGCACTACAGCAGTAGTGGATACCCACGAGGGGCGTCCGCGCATGGTCGACGCAGCCGACAAAGGAACAAACTACCACGGTTCTCACCTAGTACTTGACTTGCGCCTCTTGCTCATCTTGTCGCTCTCTCTCGTGTGCTGTGTAACAGCAGTGTTCGGTGCTGTGTTGCCCCACCACTGCCCAGCCCAACGTGTCGAGCAGGGGGCTCCGTGAATCGTACCCCACCATTTCGTACACGAAGCACCCTCAAACCGCGCCCACCTGAAAGCGCCGAACCGCGCCCAACCGCGCCCAACGGACATACAGGGCTCGACACTGCTGAGGGCGCCATGTCTGAGACGCCGAGGTCAAGCTACCTGGAATGCGGAGAGGAGAAGAAAAGCTCGTTGAGCAAGAGCTGGGATGCAGAAAGCCGCTTCCGGCTGCAGGAGAATGCACTCAGCTTGCCCACGAGCGACGACGACACCGCCCTGTTCAGAGTCAAAGTCGAGCTGGGGCTCCACGAGCTCACGGCCGCTCTTACTAGCCTTAGGTGAGTCCCGGTCCTTTTCCGCATGCCTGGTTGTGGATCGCAGCTTGCGCATCTGTATGCGCTTTTAGTGCAGGGCACTTCTTACTGGCGGGCGGCAGGTGATCTGGCTGGCCCCCCACCGTCGTATCTTTTGCGCCGTCATATCCAAACGGTGTCGTGTCAATGCGCCCTTCTGCGGATGTGAGCCAGAATGCAATGATGAAGGCCCCTGGCAAATGATGTCGATGCTGTTCGACTCGCGATGATAGAGCGATTGCATCGCGTTCCTGCGGTAGGTTCACCCACAGCGGTGACACGGAACTCGATTGCCGCTGGGCGTCGTTGCCAACGTGCCGCATCCCGCGGTACACAACACAAGCAGTTGCGATCAATCGCACCCGCGCCGGATCTAGGAAGTTAAATCGTTGCTGAATTAAATAAGCGATCGGTGATGAAACTGGATCCGTGATGCACGGCGGCTAATGCATGCTGACGGAGGTCCGAGCTCAATCTGTGCCTCTACGCCCCGCTGTGGTGACACGGAGCGCGTTTGTGCGTGCGTGCTGCACTGCAACAGAGCGCGCGATCAGAGCCTTTTGTTTTGGACAACCCTCACGGCTTATTGCCTCTGTTGACAAACCAACGGAATGTGCAGGTTTTATTGTCGGGTGGGGTGCAAGTGCTGTTGGTTGTGTTCAACCCTGAAGTTCTAACAGGTTAGTAAGTGAACACGCTCGGTAGAACGTTTATTATCGTGTTAGCATGCCAACACTTGCCGCTCTGCTGATGTGTCGCACAGCCGTCGAATTGACAAGCTGGAGGAAAACACAGCCCCTCCCGAAACGGAAAAGCAGGATGAGGCAGTGAAGGAACTCACTCGCAGCGCCCGATGCCTCTCCCAGGCCCTGCCAGGTGTGCCCTCTCAACTTTCAGGCGGTCGACCTGCTCTGCGCGAATGGACTCGTTTAGCCAGGATCCTTGCAAATAGGCATCCAAAGAGTGGGTTTCCCCAGCCACGTCCGGTGCTTGCTTGACACTGAGTGGCGGGCTGGGTTCAATCCCTGTCATGTCGACGTCGTTCGAGTAGCCCTTCGAATATATTTCCTGTAGGCGGTATGTATGTCGATCGTTCGGTTGCCGGCTGCGGGGTCGCGATGGGTTGAACGGAGTACGTGTCACTGCCGGCATCAACCATCTCCGAATGGATGCAGGTATCGCGTCAGCACGGACGAGGCGGCGCGCTCTACACGGTTATTTCCGCGAGAGTGACGAGAAGAGGGGCGGCTATGGGGACAGGATTGACCCCGCTGCCAGGTTTGTTGGGTGTGTGTGAATGGTGGTATCATGGGTGATGACATTGGCTCGTCCTGGTAGGCGAGGTAGGCTAGTGCTGCGAGCTGTAGCGGGTGCTTGTGTAAAGGGGAACCGGCGGTGATCGATATGGTGTGTTCATGAATTGCATGGTGTTTTGCATATAAGATGCCGAATCTGTGCACATCGGCCCTAGTTGTCCTAGCAGCACGAAAGCAGTGGCAGTACAAATCTGCACAATCGGTTCCCACGTTCGCCACACGCGGGCTTACCTACCGTTGTTGTCTGCCCTTGTTGGCCGAGCGGGTGCAATGGACTTACTATGCGATCAAATGCTGCGTGCGGTGCGCCAGCAGTAGCAAAGCCAGCATGTTTGCCTGTCTCCGAAAAAACGCGGAGGCAACAGAGAGATTCTCAACTACGACAGACGGAATTACGAGAATATAAGTAACTTGCCGATGCCATGAGCGATAATCCAACACACAAGGTACGGTGAAATGGAAGGCCGGGTGCGAGAGACTTACAGCTCTCTTGGCACGACCCTCTCTGAAATTGGAGGTCTATTTTATGTTGTACATCTACACAGGGTATGTGCGCCTGAATCAAGCTGACGACTTGGGCTCCAAAATGTTTGCATGGCAGCCTCGTCTCCTGTGCTGCTCATGCCATCTGAGCCCCCCAATATTTTCCGTGGAATGTGTTGCAGGGCCCTCGTCATCGAAGGCCTGGCGTGCCTTGCGGGCAAGGTCAGGGTGGAAACGGCTCGGGGTAACAAGGCCAACGGTAGGGGGACGTGGTCGAGCACAATCAGAGCTACCCGTGGGTTGAGCCCTTCGCCCCGTCGCCGAACACAGTCGACTCACTCTTCGGTGGGAGAGACAGGCGTGGCATCGGAGGAGGGAAAAATGCTTCAAGGAGTGATTTCTCGCGATGGTGGCGACGGAGACACGCGAATGTTAGCACCCGCTTCGGAGCCAGACTTTTCTTCGCTGAGAACTTTGTCGCTACCGAGAGTGTTGACGCCGGAAGGCGAGTTTCCCGCCGGCAGGCTCGAGGTTGAGCATCTCCGCGGCAGTCTCGAGCCTTCTCTCCCGTCATCGCCGATTACCTTGACCGGTTCGACTAACGACAACATGTTCCCGCCTGCCCCTACGCCCGAGAAGACCAAGGACAGAAACCTGAGAGCAGAGTCGAAAGTAGGGCGGTGGGCAGAGAGTGCGAGGCTTACAGAACCTAATGAGGGGAAGCCCCGAAACAAGGCCAACCCAAGCGCTAGCGGTGGCAGCAACGGTGGTGCGGGTGACGGCAGCAGCAACAGCTGGAGCAGCAGCAGTGCCGATCAGGACGATTCAAACTCTAGAGCGATAAACGGGACCAGCGCCAACAACAGTGCGCTTGGAGCGACGAGCGATTCTGTTGTGGAGAACGGTCGGCCTACAGAAGGCGAAAGGTGCAATGATGCTAGTGTGGCTCGTGTGGGTGCTTCGGAAAGAACCGCCGATAATGGTGACGATCGCAACAAATATGCGACACAGCTCATGAACACGACCAATGCTGCTACTGGAGGTAGCAGAGGCACGCCTGGTGAAGCTGGCAGCGCTTCAGACAGAGACGTGATGGTCAGGATGCTGCTGAACGCCGCTGGAGCAGCAGCTGAAGCGGAAGAGCGAGCTGGAGGCCCAGGCACACAAGGAGATGGGCAAGGCTTCACCAGGAGGGGTCTTCGCAGCTGGTTTGATAGTGACGGTGGTGGCTGCAGAAGTGGTGGTGGCATCCAGGTTCGGCAAGAAGACCTGGACGACTTCCGACGGGAGGTAGACGTGGTGCGTGCCCTAAGCAGCCATTTGCGCGGCTCAGCATCGTCCACGTCTTCTTCTCCTTCTGCGTCGTCTCCTTCGTGGCGTGCTGCCACTGGTTCGGTCAATGTTGTCACAGCTGCTGCTCCGGCGGCGGTGGTGCAACAAGCCAAAGCCAGCGAAGTACCCAAGGACAAGAGCGGCGGACGCGTCTCGCCCGAAGGGGTTTCGCTGGATGCGTTGGAGAATTCGCGACCGCGGAGCCAGCGATCTTTGTTGGATGAGGAAGGCGGGAAGAAAACGCCTTTGCTGGACGGCGGAAGGCGCTCGTCGTTCAGTTGCCAGCACAAAGTTTCGCTAGAACGGGATGGCGGAGCGCGGCTCGTGGATGCCCAGGGGTTCGTGGACTTGGGGGCTGCTAGTACGTGCAGGGAGGACTCGGCGCGGCTCGCGGAGTTGGAGGTAACCATCGTAGGCCCCGGGGTACGTTGGCCGGGTTGTTTTTGTCCTTTGGTGGTGGTAAATTGCCTCACTCGTGCTTTCTACGGTGTTGTAGTTTCTACATTTGCGCAAGTTGAACACTACGAACGGTGATCCGCTCGTCGCCCCGTCGCCGCCTATGTGCGAGACACGGTTCCCCTCAACTCTATCTCTTGGATACACGCACGCAGGGGAAACAACCAGAGGGTCCTTACCCCGAGATCTCCGATACCGGCGTGGCAGAGCTTGAGGCAAAGTTGGAGGAGCTCCGTAAGATCGGAGACAGGATCAAGGATGAGGCGGTGAGTAAGCGGCGCGGTCTGGGTTGGTGGTGCGTGGTCGCAAAGTCTCTTACTCCGCATGGACTTGTTGCTTGGGGTTGTGAAAACTGGCCTACTGTATAACAATCCTGTATCTCTGACCTTGTTTCTTGCAAGGGAGGGGGGGTGTACTCATAGTCGTGCATGCCGTAGTCGTTAGACCATTGACCTCGCATCCCTGCAAAGCCGGGACGGAGCACGCCGGGTTCTCACCGGACCAGGCTCTCACATCACCAAGCGCGAAGCGCCGTGAGATATTCGGCGAGTCGCATGAAGGGTGCGCTGCATCCTGCTAAGGGTGTTCGGCATCTTGTGCTTACTTCCTTGCGTACGGATGACAGCTGCGTATGAATTAAT